GGTGTGAACTGAAAACTCAAAAGAAAACTTAACAGAACATGATGATGACATTATGTGAATTGGAGCTATAGAAATAAACTAATTAGAACTGAATTATGTGGAAGATTTTTTATGCATGAAGGTTATAAAACTAAAAAGTTATGATGGCCAAAAGGGAAACAATTAACAAATAAATAATAGCCTATTTTAATAATAATATTTTATCTGATTTTGCTAACAAAATTCTTACATAACACATGTAAACATGTAGCCTGTTAAACCAGACTAAATGTGAGATTAAATGTGTAATTTGGTCTGGCCCCCGATGAATGAGACATCAGAAGATTGTTGCTAAGAACAACCTATTGTTTTTCAAACCATGTCTGTGCCTATTGGCCATTGCTCTGATCAATGAGTGGATCTTACTGTGACGTAGGAAGCACGACAGAAAGCTGCTTATGTTTCAACAAAAAACCCAAGTCTAATCCTTCCAAAACTGATTCCAAAGCTGAGTCAAACAAGAACCGTTCAATAGTTGTTGCCATCTTCCTTGTTGTGCTTTCTCAAGTGCCGCGCAGCTTTGTCATCACACCCTCAAAACCCCGCCCACTTTGCATAAAAAAATTCAAACCACATCTCTGTGTTGTGATTGGCCCGCTAGCTCTAGTGCCTGGGGCATTGATCGAGGCTAGACCAACTAGCAGGGAAAAATTATTTTGGCCGCTGGTGGACGGAGCTACTTTACTAGGCTAGTAAACATTAAAAATACATATTGTAAAATGGCATACATACTCAGTAAAAGCTGCCTTGCATGGGGTTTTACACCGTGAAATCGGAAATTTACCCAGTTAAATAATAAAGTCTTTGTTTATTATAATGTTATCAAGGTGATGTAATACAGTTGAAACATACCACCATTGTTTATGAGGCCGCCTTATCTGTGGAAAACTTTCTACCTAAGGGAATGGGCACCACCATCTACACAATAGAGGCATGCTGAACTGAAATAGTTTTTAACATTTACCAGCTGAGAAAACACCAAACACAAGCTTGAAGAAGTACATGTTCAAATGCAGTTACAGTTGATTCATCAAACTGTCCAACAAGGCAGATGTACAAAAATCAAATATGACCGTAGACTTGAAAGTGGACAAAGATAGCAAGCATAAGCAACAGTGTCTTGAAATGACCTATCATTAAGATGAAAACATCACATTCTGAGCCAAAGTGTTGTCTGTGAGACTTGTTCACCCTTCCACTTGAGGGCGATGGTGAGCACGGATTGCTGTGTTGTCTTGTGATCTGACACACCTGCTGCCCATTGTGTTAATCAGAGAGAGTTAAAGAAGAGCCTTGCTATGCCTTCAGTGGTAACTCAAGCTCCCCTCTGTTCAGCTCCTGTGCTCAGGACTTGTCCTTGTTTCCTGAAACTTACCTTTGATTTCTGTTCCCATGCCACCTGTCTCCCTGTTGGAACCTTTTCTTAGACAAACCTCCATCCTGGAAACTAGTGATGGTGGGATGAAGCCTCATGAGGCATTTAACCATTTGGGCAAATTGTTTCCAACAATCCACACATTTCATGGAGTTTCATGTGAACATGTCACCACCTACTGGCGTAGTTTCATAACTACAGTTAGCAATATAATCTGTGATGTTTGGATTTTTTTTTCTTATTTTTTACCAATTTAATTTTCTTTGAAATTGTTCATGATTGGTGTGTATAATAAAATTTGTTGTAAGATATTTTTTTTGGTGTACCATGTCTGAGAAGAGAACAATCTTTTAAGGCTCACTGTTTTTCTGTAATTTCAGTGACATAAGCTCAAGCAGATGGTTAAAGTGTTCAGGTGGGACAAGGATTGGAGACTCTATCAGGGACCTGCGCGGAGTGTTGAATGCCTGCTGGCAGTTCTGGGCCAGCTGAAGTCACAGTCCTTTTGCAACAGGCCAACCCCAGGAAGCTTTTTAGCTGAACTTGGTCAATGGGCGTGGATCAGTCTTTACTGGTCTTTACTTTTTCCTCTAGAGTGCTGATACCC